CCTGTCCAATCCTCTGAAACTAGGGTTCCAGATGGTTGTGAGCTGATATGTAGGTGTTAGGAATCAAGCTCAGGTCCTCCACAAGAGCAACAAGTGCTTCTAAATGTCAGGCCATCTCTCTAGCCCTTATTAATTTTTAAAAAGTGCCCAGAGATCCTATGTTCATCCTGCTGTTGAAAATCAGCTTTCCAAGAATGGCTCTGAAGTCAGCATCCAAGGAAGAGCAGCCCCACCTTCTGGTTAGAGAGAGCACTTCACCAGTACCACCAGAAGGATGGCGGCAAATAACTGGTACCCAGCAGACAGCCCAACATTCACTGTGTTGTCTAGTCATTTCTTTCTCAATTTTCTAAGCTCTGGAGATAACACTTACGCCATTAAGGTAACCATGACACTTTTTTTTTTTTTTTTTTTTAAACCGAGACAGGGTTTCTCTGTGTAGCCCTGGCTGTCCTGGAACTCAGTCTGAGGACCAGGCTGGCCTTGAACTCAAGAGATTCTTAAAGGCATGTGTCATCATGCCCAGCTAACACACTGATGTTGTAGAATATTATTTTAAGGTGTGTTACTCTTGTTCATGTTGCATTTGCATGCTGTGTTACTGCACCTGTCTAAAACACCTGATGGTCTAATAAAGAGATGAACAGCCAATGGTGAGACAGGAGAGAGAAATAGGCAGGGCTGGCAGGCAGAGAGAATATACAGAAGGAGAAATCTGGGAAGAAAGGAAGGAGAAAAGGAGAAGAGGACATCAGGGGCCAGCCTAAGTAGCCACAGAGAAACAAGGAAAAGTATACAGGAACAGAAAAGAAAAAGCCCAGAGGCAAAAGATAGATGGGATAATTTAAAGTTAAGAAAAGCTGGCTAAAAACAAGCCAAGCAAAGGCCAGACGTTTAGAATTAAGAATAAGCCTCTGTGTGTGTTCGGGAGCTGGGCGGCGTGCTCCGCCAAAGAGCAAAAACATCTAACATTTTGGGACACCAACTTGTTGCTCCAATTTCTATAGTGCTGGAGAAAGCTTTTTTTTTTTTTTTTAAAGGGTGGTGGTGGATATGGCTCCTTTAAATGTTTCTGCCTGCTGGCAAGCCCTTGAACAGCAAGTACATTAAGTATGAACAAAACAAAACAAAACAAAAC